CATAATGTTCTTGTCCTCAAGACATTGGTAATATGCACCGTTTATATAACCCTTGTACCTGATGCTTGTTTTCTTCTTGATATCCAATGTTAGGCGTTTCTCCAAAACCATCAATGCTTCTTCTAAACTACTGATACTTGTTCTTAGGCTAGGAGGAGTGGTAACACTCCTAACACCTTGTCACATCATCTTTTTAGGTGTCATGTCATTTTTTTCTCTTAGAACCTTATTCTTAGCATTTGGTAGGGAGTGGTAACACTCCTAGCACTCCAATTTTTTTTTCTTTTTCAAATTTAATTAAAATATTTTTTTAAAACACAAACAATTAATATTAAATAAATTTTATTTTTTTAAACCACAAATAATTAATACCAAATAAATTATATTTTCTAAAACACAAACATTTGATATTAAATTAAAAAAGTTACAAAAAGATTTTTCAGGGGGTTTTGTGTTGATTCTGAAAATTTATATTGTAAAAGAAATTGTAAACTAGGGTCGAATCTGTCATAAGGTCAAAATCAAGGGATCAAAAATGCCAAATTGTAAATTTTGTGTCTTCTTCCTCCCAGAGAAAAACTCTCTCCGCCAATCATATCTATTTGTCTTCCCTTTCTCTTCTTATTTCTTCTCGCTGCCGGGTTAGCGAGCAATTGTTAGCGAGGCAAGTAGCGACTTTGTAAGGAGTGGAGGAAACAAGTTTGGCGAGCTGGAGGCGAGTCCCTAGCGAGGGACACTCCCTCCAGCCTTAGCATATTGTTTTCATGCACCTGTGATTTTTTATTGATTACCCTTGCCCACCGGTGAACAATATTGGACCCAATATTTGTAGAGGATTATGAGGCGTGTGTTTCTTCAAGGGCATCACACCAATCGAGAGTCGAGATAGCCAACGGTAACAAATTGTCAAAACCAATTATAGTTTATAGGTTTGCATCTTGATTTCATTATGGGTGTGTTTGGCACAAAGCTTTTGGAAGCGTTTGGGAGCTTTAGCTTTTAGCTTTTGACAAAACGTTTTAGTTTAAACAAAAAGTTTCGTTTGGCGGTACGAGCGTTTAGCTTTTAGTTTAAACAAAACGCTTCAATTCTATAAGCTACTTCATGTAGCGTTTAACAAAATGCTACTGAGCTTTTGAAATCAATTTCCATAATTACCCTTAAAAATATATTTATATATTTATTTATTTTTAATCAATTGTCCTTTTATGTAATTTTATATATTTCAAAAGCTTTCAGTTACTTTTGTCAAACATTCATATAACAAATAAAAGCTACAGCTTCCCGCTACCAGCTACCCGCTACCAGCTAACCGCTACCCGCTTCCAGCTAACATCTAATTTTGCCAAACACGCCCTATTTGATAAAAATTTTTTGCCAAACACACCCTACCAGCTAACAGCTAATTTTGCCAAACCCTTCCGGAACGAGTTCAACTATTTGAATTTCTGATTTCAATCTTCCATGCGTTTTTCTTTGTTGCAATTCCTAATTTTTAAAATATGAATATATGATAATCCTACCTAATCATCATCATCTCTAAGAAATGAAAGTTTTTTTGCCACTTGTCACACTCTCATTCAATTTACCAAATGTCATTTTGTGGTTATTTTGAATTAGTTTTTTTTCCACATGTCATTTTATGAGTTTTTTTTATTTTATTAAATTCCATATAATATTTTAATGTAATAATTGCAATAAATGTAGTAATAAATGGATATCAATTTCATTAATAAACTTACTTTTTAATTTCAAAATTTCTAAAATTAAAGGTCATTAGTTTCTTTTCTTTATTTAAATTATTTGTTTAAATTTTTAAAAGATAAAAAACATTTTCATTATAATAATTCATTATTTTTCTTATTTTCTTATAAATTCAAAATTCTAAAATATTTTGACATTTATATTTAACTTTTTTTTTAAATTAACTCATGTAATACATGGGTCTCACAACTAGTAAATAAAAATACTTCTCCCAATATGTCACATGGCATTTTCTCTATTTTTTCAATTTTCTATAATTCCACTTGGCAAATTGTGTTTTTTTGGCTTTTTAATTAATTTACCATATAAATATTTACTACATTTTAAAGATATTTAAAGAAAGATTAATATATATCATTAAAGTGTCCGGTAAGAAATCAATGAATGTATTAAAAATGTATTAAATTCAAAATAAACCTTCCTATATTTCAAACACAAATTTAAGCAATCCCTTTGAAATTTACAGCAATCCCTTTCATTCACAGCTAATATTTTGAATATTGTATATTTTCAAATCAAACTTCGATATCCTTTTTAATATAATTTTTATAAATTATGTATAACTACATTCCAATTCGTCAGTTATCACTATTTTTTCAAAGATCGAGTTTCAGCATCGTGTTCCAAATCTCTACATCATCACAGTCTAATACATGATTTTTTTCATCAGGTTAGGAATGCCTTTTTGAGTTAATGATGAGTTATTTTGCAAATCATGTGATTATTAAGTTAATGATGAGTTATTTTGCAAATAATGTGATTACCAGTTAAGAACAATGACCTTTGAGAGAAAATTATTGGTTCCAATTTGATTATTTTCTAAAGTTTTATTGTTAAATTTCATTTTTCTATAAAAGGACCAAAATGCTCTTTCTCGATAATATGACCCTGTCCACTATTCCAGAAAACATGTTCTTAACAAAATATGTCATTGGAATGAAATTCAATTACATTCCCTTGTATTTTTTCTGTTTGTTTAAGGGATACAAACTTCCATGTCTTTATGGTGGGAAAATTAAATTCCTCATCTAATGGAATTTTGTGATGTAATGAGGTGGCATCAAGTAAAATGAAAGACCTTGTACTTTAAATATTTTTTATTTAATCAGATTGAAACCAATATTTTCCTCTTAAAGGTCATTGTTCTTAACCGGTAATCACATGATTTGCAAAATAACTCATCATTAACTTAATAATCACATGATTTGCAAAATAACTCATCATTAACTCAAAATGCTTTGCTAACCTGATGTAGAAAATCACGTATTAGACTGTGATGATGTAGGGATTTGGAACACGATGCTGTAAACTCGATCTTTGAAGAAATAGTGATAACTGACGAATTGGAATGTAGTTATACATAATTTATAAAAAGATATTTTGGAAAGGATATCAAAGTTTGATTTGAAAATATACAGTATTCAAAATATTAGTTGTGAATGAAAGGGATTGCCGTGAATATCAAAGGGATTGCTGAAATTTGTGTTTGAAATATAGGAAAGTTTATTTTTGAATGTAATACATTTTTAATACATTCATTGATTTCTTACCGGACACTTTAATGATATATTAGTTTTTCTCTAAATATCTTTAAAATGTAGTAAATATTTATATTGGTGGATTAATAAAAAAGCCAAAAAACAACAATTTGCCGAATGGAATTAAAGAAAATTGAAAAAATAGAGAAAATGCCATGTGGCATATTGAATAAGGTGATGACATTTGGTAGAAATATTTTTATTTGTTAGGTAGGATAAATCCCTTATATATCATTTCCGATTATATCTTACAATTATTTTTTATATTTTTCTTATTATATGTTAACTTATAATTATTTGTATCTGTAGTATAACTTACATATTTTATATTCTTTTACAGTGATTTCTAATATAAATACTAATATTTAAACACCATCATCAAGCGAGTTTGTCAATATTGACGGTAACAATGAAAATGTCTGCCTAACTTTGTCATGTGGATATCAACAAACACGTGTTCAATCTACTTCAAATATTTATGTCAGCAGTCCATTGTCGAACAATGCTAAAGACAAACGAAAAGAAAGTAAAATTTATTTGGATATAAGAAGATCGAATCACATTCCACCGTACCAATCGGTATATGATATATATCATCTTACCTATTTAATTTTATCCATATAAAATTATTCTAAATATTGTAGAAATATATTATGTTATTATATTTGTTTCTTTATTGTTCCCAAATTAATACATATTTATATGAACTTATCTTTTATTAATAGGTGATATTGGTCGTGATCAATAACGTTTTCAATATGCTTTTAATTTTACTACAAGAACTCCGTTGTCCAACATTTCCAATGGTATGATTTTGTTTACATTTAGCTTACTGTTTGTTATTATATATGGTACACATATAATAATATGTATTCACTTTTTAAACTTTTTTATATTTTTTTATTTATTTACCTTAAAAATTTAATACTAATTGTCATACTTTCAATGTTAGTAAATGCACAATATTCTATCCTGGGGACATGAGAGCTACGAATTCATCTTCAGTCATGAGAGCTACGAATTCATCTTCAGTTACTCGAGCTTCTTCCAGCAATTTATCATGCAGATAAATAAATAAAAAAAAGGAAGATTTCAAATATATCTCGAATACCCTTTTTGGACCTAACATCAGATGAAGATTTACGTGATCAACAAATCCGTCAACAATTGATTTCAGGTGTCGCAAAAGTAAACTATTAATTATTATTTATACTCCCCCTTTATTTTTAAAATATTACTAATTGCAACATTAATTTATTTCAATGTTTTACAAATATTTTTATTAAACAGATTATTTGGACCATGGGGACCAAACTTTTGTGTGTGCGATGTGTCATGCACAATTATGGACGTATGAAGCCCTTAAAGGCAACACTTCTGGAAAGAAAACTTCTTATTCCATGTGTTGTGGTAACAGAAAGGTCGAGCTTCCTGAATCAAAACAAGCTCCAACAAATTATCAAAATCACTTTCGTTATGTTGATCCAAAAGGAAAACATTTCATGAAGAACATTCCTTGAATCAATTCGATTTTTTCCTTTACTTTAATGGGTGGAAAAGTTGATTCTTCCATTAATAGAGATAATGCTCCATATGTTTTCGGACTTAGCGGTCAAAATTACCATTGTTTGGGAAGTCTTCTACCTATAGATGGATCCAAACCAAAGTTTTCGCAACTATACATATATGATACTGAAAATGAAGTTTCAAATAGACAACACGCTTTCAGGTATATCTTTATTATTTTTTTTTATAAACCATTACTTTTATAATGTTGATATAATGATTTAGTTGCTAAATTTTACATATAACAGTTGTTGTTAACAGTAGACAAAAAGAAGGGTGCACATCAACTTCTCATTCTCTTGATATCGAAATCATTAGCTTTTTGAAGGTCATGTTGGATTCAACCAATGAGCTGGTTAAGTGTTATAGAATGGCCAGAGATTGTTTTGATGAAAATTCTCCTATAGATCTAAAGTTACGTCTTATAGGAAGAAGGCAACAAGATGGAAGGACATATAACTTACCTACTGCTTCTGAGGTTGTTGCTTTAATTGTTGGTGACATTGGTGATGCAATTGATAATAGAGATATCATCGTAAAAACTAAATCAGGAATTCTACAACGTATAAACGAATTACATCCTTCTTACCTTGCTCTTCAGTACCCACTACTCTTTCCATATGGAGATGATGGATATAGATTTGACATACCTCACACGGATGTTGATCATTCAACTAATACCAAACGTCGTTACTGTACAATGAGAGAATTCTTTGCTTATAGAATTCAAGACAAAGTTAATGTTTTTTCATTAATTCTTAATTCAAGAAGGCTTTTTCAACAATTTCTGGTTGATGCTTATACGATGATTGAAACTGAGAGACTATATTACATACGCAATCAGTCAAACGTTCTTAGGTGCGAATCTTATGAAACTTTAAGAAGTGTACAAATTCATGGTAATATTGATATTTCCAAAGTCGGAAAACGTCTTATCTTGCCTTCTTCTTTTACGGGTGGTACACGCTACATGATGCAAAACTATTTAGATGTCATGTCACTTTGTAAGTGGTTTGGATACGTAGATTTTTCATAAGCATAACATGCAATCCAAAGTGGCCTGAAATTAAAAGGTTTCTTGCTGACACCAGCTTAATCCCGAAGATAGGCACGATATCCTTTCTAGATTATTCAAAATTAAGTTGGATTCTTTGATTAAAGACTTAAAGAAGAAGCGGTTATTGGGTTTGGTCCAAGCAGGCACCTAATATTACAATAATAGTTTTATAATTATGTTTTTTATTATCTTATAATATTATATTTATTTAAATCATTTTACAGTTGTTTATACGGTGGAGTTTCAAAAGCGCGGTCTGCCTCACACACATATATGTTTATTCATGCACTCTGATTACAAACTCCCTACTGTTGAACATATTGATCGAGTTATTTCGGCTGAAATTCCAAACAAAGACGATGATCCAGAATTGTATGCACTTGTTAGTGAGTTCATGATGCATGGTCTATGTGGTTCTAATAATCCTAAATGTCCATGCATGAGTGAAAACAAGTGTTCAAAAAACTTCCCGAAGCCATTCTTGGAGAATACTTTCGTTGATTCAAATGGTTATCCTATATATATATGAGACGTAATGATGAATCTTTTATAGAAAAGGCGGGTGTTAAGTTAGTCAATAGAAGCGTTGTTCCATATCACAAAACCCTTTTGAAAAGATATCAAGCTCACATTAATGTTGAGTGGTGTAATCAAGTGGCTTCCATCAAATATTTGTTTAAATATATTAACAAGGGTCCTGATCGGGCTACTGTTGAAGTTGTACAAAACAGCAACGGAGGTGATAATGATGATGCTCCAGTTGATGAAATAAAGAACTACTATGACTGTAGGTATTTGTCTGCATGTGAAGCTTCGTTATTTGGATTTGATGTTCATTACAAATATCCTTCTGTTGTAAGGCTTCCGTTCCATCTTCCTGGAAAACAAAATGTTGTATACGGAGCAGATGATGATATTGAACAAACAATCTATTTCTTCTTTGATGTTCTTATCTTGGATGAGCTGTAATGAACAACCTAAGGATGCACGAAAACTTTCTTATGTTGAATTTCCTACAAAATTTGTATGGAAACAAGAATATCATTGTTGGGAGCCAAGAAAAAAGGGTTTTGTATTGGGAGGATTCACACAGTTTAACCTAATCTCGGTGAAGCATATTTTTTGAGAATTCTTTTAAATAAAGTCAAAGGTCCGAAATCATTTGCAGATATTCGTACGATTAATGAACAAGTATTTCCTACTTTTAGAGATGCACGTTATGCTCTTGGACTTTTAGAAGATGATAGAGAATATATTGATGTCATCGAGGAAGCAAGTCATTCAGGGTCTGGTTATTATTTATGGTTTCTATTTGCAACTATGCTAAAGTCTAATAGTTTATCTAAACCATGTTATGTTTGGGAAAATACTTGGCAATACTTATCCGATGGAATACTCTACAATCAACGAATGAGATTAAAGTCTCCAGGTATTATTATTTTTGTCATTCCTTACATTTTATACATTACTTATATATTTTTCAAATGCTAATTATATTATTATTTGAAATTTTTATGTTTTTTATAAATATTTTAAAGTTTTTTTATACACATTATTTTCATTATGTGATAATTGTGTATATTTATCTTTTAATAATTAACTCTGCAATTGTACAACTTTATCCGTTAATGACGATCAGCTTAAAAACTTGACGCTATATGAGATTGAAAAAATTCTACTCAAAAACAGTTCAAGCCTTAAAGATTTTGTTCGGATGCCTTACCCTGATCATGATTCGGTATCTTCTTCAAACAACCGTTTGATTACTGAGGAGTTAGATTTTGATACGAACAGTCTACAAAAAGAATCTAATCAACTACTTGATTCATTAACAATTGAATAACGATCAGTTTTTGATGAAATCATGACAAATGTTAAACAGAAAAAAGGAGGTGTGTTTTTTGTTTATGGCTATGGAGGTACTGGTAAAACTTTTTTTTGGAAGACTTTATCTGCATCTATAAGATCTAAAGGTGATATCATTTTAAATGTTGCTTCAAGTGGTATTGCTTCATTGCTATTAACCGGAAGTAGAACATAATACTCACGCTTTATAATTCCTCTAAATCTTACTGAGGATTCCTTTTGTTTTTTTTCACCAAATAGTGATGTAGCCGAATTGTTAAAAAAACATCATTGATTATATGGGACGAGGCACCTATGATTCATAAGCATGCATTTGAAGCCTTAGATCGTTCTTTGAAAATTTTATTGAGTTGTGATCTTCGTAGCAACTCAAAATTGTCGTTTTGAGGAAAAACAATTGTCTTTGGAGGCGATTTTAGACAAATTCTACCGGTTGTTCCTAATGGAAGCAGACAAGACATTGTGAATACTTCTTTAAGTTCCTCTTATATTTGGTCAAGTTGCAAAGTCTTAACATTAACAAAAAAACATGAGGTTAAGTGTTCTCACATCTGATATTCAAGAAACGACGACTTTTAAAAAATGGATTTTGGATATAGGAGAAGGAAAAGTTGGTGGTTTGAATGATGGCGAGACAATTATTGATATTCCTACTGATCTTCTCATTGTTAATTTAGTTGATCCTATTGGTTCATTAATTGGATTTGTCTATCCTTCTATTGTTGAAAATGCCAAGAATCCGATTTATTTTCAAGAAAGAGCGATCTTTGCACCGAAGAATGAAGTCGTTCAAGAGATTAACGGGCGTTTGTTAAAATTATTTCTAGGAGATCCACAGGAGTATTTAAGTTCAAATAGTCTTTTTCACGCAGATTTTGTTCATGATGAAGTTGATGAAACTTTATACTCTCCTGAGTTCTAATGGTCTTAACCTTCAGGTTATGCCAATTTATAAGTTGGTGTTAAAAGTCGGTGTTACGGTTATGTTACTAAGGAATATTGATCAGAAATGCGGATTGTGCAATGGCACGAGGCTACTGTTGGATTAATGTCTAAGTCCATAACTATATTTGGTATGTACTTGACCCGACCCGGCATGGTCCATTTGGGTTGCACTTCACCGGCACAATTTATATGGATAGTCTTTTGAGAATAGTATATTTATGATTTATATTAATATATTATAAGTTCTAATATATTAATATGGAATCATATTATTTAATTAGTATTGATCAAGAATTAATTTAGAATTAATAAGTGATCCAAAAAGAACTAATTAAATATGGACTCTTATATATATGGAATGGGCCAAGTTCATATAGGTTGGGCTAAGCTTTCATGGATGGTCCATGGAGCTTTTAACCCATGGATCCTATGTAAATGAAAGGTCATGGGTATTAGGGTTTACATGGATGTAACCCTATCCTCCAAATATATAAAGGGGTCCTTGGCTCACAAAATTGGCACAAGTGTGTGAAAATAAGAGTGGCCGATTTTAGTGTGCATACATATTCTCTCAAGTTATTCCAAGGTGTTTTGGTGATTTGATTCCATTTGAGGCTTCCACACTATGGGGTTAAGCTCTTAAAGCTTGAAGACATCAAGCTACATCAAAAGGTATGTCATCTAACTAGACTTTATAGTATAGGTGCTTATAATATGCTAGTTGGATGAAACCTTGGAATAGTTAATATTTGCATGTATAATAGAGAAAACATAGATCCAAGGTTTATAGGGTTGCATGTACACCATAGTAGTGTTAGAATGCTCAAAACCCAACAGTGGTATCAGAGCCATGGGTTGTTTTCTGTTATATTGATGCAAATGTTTATTTTCAAGTTGAAAAAAAAAAAAAAAAAAAAACACATGACGTTTGTCAAATTTTAAGATAATTACTTGTTTTGTGAAAAACGAATTATTTGTAAAAATTGAATCATTTGTTATATGAGTTGAATTAGGTCAAATTTAGTAAAGATAAAATGATGATTATTTTATTAGTTTTAAGTTTGATCTAAATGTTTTAAGGAGTTAATTTTTTGTCATAAATTTGGAGCTCAAAAGTTTTTTTAAAGTTGTGATCTTAAGGTTTTTGAAACTTCCATAAGTTATGGATATGAAAGTTGTTTTTAAAAAAAAAAATTTGATTCAAAGTTTTTATGGAGTTACAAAAATTTGGTGTAATGTTTTAAAGAATTCCATAAACTTGTTCTTAAGTTATGGAACATGGAAAGTTTCATCATAAAACACCATTAATTCCATAAGTTATGGAATCCAAAGGTTTCAAGAATTACAAAAACTTGCCCTCAAGTTTTGGAATTTGAGAAAAGTTTTATGAAAAAAAGAATTGAATTCTAAAACTCTTGGGTTCATAACTTAAACAATTAATTAAATGGTTTTATTTTGAGTTTAATAATTGGAATTATGATGTTTTGTTGAATAGTTCAAATTAACACTTATGGACTTATTAATAGTTAATTAAAGCGTTTAATTAAAAGAGTATTATTAAATCCATAATATATGGTTTGAGTTTAATTAAAAAAAGTCCAGTTTAATTAATAGATTAAACCACCAAGTATTTTAAATAGTCTAAAATACACCCTTATACTATTATAATATTAAAGTTTAATATATTATATGTATAAGAGCAAGTCGTCTTACCATTAGTAGGCCTCATTCACGAAGCCGGTCTATAAGGGGGGTATAAGGTTACTGCCTATAAAATGGCAGTTTAATGGGTGTCCACTCTCACTCACCGCTTCCTTGACCGGTGGAGGGTCGTTTGCCGAACAGGTAGGACAAGGACTATAATTCTCCCTTCATTATAAGTATAATGATAAATACTAAGTAACTAAACACTTATAAATTCCCAATCTTAGTTACTTAGGAAAATGTGAATAAGGTGCTAATCCATGAAATTACACTTTGCACTTTGTTTAAGCTGTTAGTGGAGCGTGTGTGGTTAACCGGCACACTAACCTGGACTTAACAAGGTAGGCAAAGGGTAACTTAATGTTTATCATAGTATCGTTGGAGCGTGTGTGGTTAACCGGCACATCGATTGAGGGGTAAATATTAAGGGTACCAAGTATATTTGCATGGTTACTTCACACCTTGTTTTGTGATCCTCGGCATCCCAGTCACAAAACCTGAAGGGCACACTCGAGATTGAAACATGCCATTGAAAAGTTCAATGAATCTCAAAAGAATCTAGGAGTTTCAAAACCAATTAAAACCTAATAATACATTTCGTTTATCTTGGTGGAAATTGGTGAATCGTCATTCACCTACCTTCAAATATTTTATAGCTTGGATTACGGCATCCCTCTTCCAAGTTATAAAATAGTTTGTTGGGTCCTAGCCTTAATATATCATATTGGGTGTTATATTAAGGACTTAAATCAACTTTACGTGAATTTCTCCCATTGTTGATGTCTGGTTTAGACAACAATGATCTTCCCAAACCAAGCTTTCCTAATGAATATGACTTCCCGAGTTTGGCTCATGGAAGTCATACTTCTCTTCCTCCACCTCCTCCAATTATTCTCCCTAACCCACAAGTTCAAGGTCACTCAAGCCCTAATGGCAAGCAAGGTCTATGTGTGATCACATCTTAGAGATGAAGTCACATATTGACAAGCCGGGAGAGTTGGGTGTCAAAGTCTTGAGAAAGTTGGATGTTCAATCACTTTCTAAGTCACATAGTGAGTTCCTTTGGGACTACTATGAAACAGACTATGACATGAACCTTAATGATCATATCTATTTGCTTGGTGCTGCTGAATCAGCAATGATTTGGAACGATAGTAAAGCAAATTTGATTAGAAGATCAACTTCCCAAAAACTTTATGGACAGTGACAATGGTGACACTGGAAATCCAGAAAAAGCATTCTCTTCCCAATGGAAAGGGATTGGCCATAGTCAACCCGGTTGACCAAATGGTAAAGAGAAAGGCTAAGTCTGAGATAGTCCCATTACCAAAGGGTCCATATGTTTATTTTGCCAAAGGAAGGGGCGTTGATTGCAAAGCTGCCAAATTTACCTAAGGATGTTAAAGTCAATAAGTTTGACTCTACATCAGGTAGAGCCCATTATCTAACTCTGT